AGGTGATACATGAGTTTTCTTGGGCTCTCCTGTCCCACAGGGGAATCTGAGAATGCAGCCCGCAGTTCCATTGGCTGACCATAGAGCTGATCAGAGACCAGAATGGCTTCAATCATCTCTATAGTCTAAGAAATCGGAAGATACGAACAGTTCATCACTTCAGTTTCGCAGGATATAAACAGTGCCATTTGTAAATTGGGAAACCAGCTGATCACACTGATCTTGGTGAGATCAGATGATATAAGGGCAGAGGAGATATTTAGAGTCTAAATAGACCACAGATTTCTCAAAAAAGAATCTGTCAAGTCCTATTGCAGTCACAGGGGACATTCCCTGTGATTAGCAATAAAAGTGATAGAAGGGACAGTGAAAATAAAAAAAATAAAAGCCCTAAATTCCCCCCCCCCGCGTGCGCAAGTTTTGCCCCCGTGCCGGTATGTAAACAGCACTTGCACCATGCATATGCAAACCCTGTGAAAAAAATGTTATCTGTAGAATGCTCACCAAATCCCTTGGGGTGTCCACTTTCCAAACAGGAGTCATTTAGGGGGGTGTTTGTAGTATCCTGGCATTTTATAGCCTCCGAAACTGATAGGTAGTGAGGAAGTGATATGAGGAAATATGCCCTTTCAAAGCCTGGAGGTGGTCACTGGATTTTGGGGGCCTGTATGTAGCTAGGCTGCCAAAAAGTCTCTCATGTGGTATCCACATACTCGGGAGAAGTAGAAGAATGTGTTTTGGGGTGTTATTCCACATATCTGGCATGCAGGAGCAATATATAATTTAAGTGACAACTTTGTGTAAAATAAAAAAAATTTTATTTTCGAAAAATTTGTGGCAAAAAATAAAATGTTCCATGGACTCAACATGACTCTCTGCAAAATCCTTGGGGTTTCTACTTTCCAAAACGGGGTCATGTGGGGGTGGAGTTGTACTGCCCTGGCATTTTAGCACTTCAAGAAGTGTGATAGGCAGTCAGAAAGTAAACGTGTGTGTGTGTGTGTATGTATATATTATATATATTTAATCCTATCTTCCATAAGTGAGTCCACCCCTCACATTTTTGTACATATTTTATTCTCTTTTCATGTGACAACACTGAAGAAATGACACTTTGCTACAATGTAAATTAGTGAGTGTACAGCTTGTATAACAGTGTAAATTTGCTGTCCCCTTAAAATAATTCAACACACAGCCATTAATGTCTAAACCGCTGGCAACAAAAGTGAGTACACCCCTAAGTGAAAATGTCCAAATTGGGCTCAAAGTGTCAATATTTTGTGTGACCACCATTATTTTCCAGCACTGCCTTAACCCTCTTGGGCATGGAGTTCACCAGAGCTTCACAGGTGGCCACTGGAGTCCTTTTCCACTCCTCCATGACAACATCACGGAGCTGGTGGATGTTAGAGACCTTTCGCTCCTCCACCTTCCGTTTCAGGATGCCTCACGGATGTTCAATAGGGTTTAGGTCTGGAGACATGCTTGGCTAGTCCATCACCTTTATCCTCAGCTTCTTTAGCAAGGCAGTGGTCATCTTGGAGGTGTGTTTGGGGTCATTATCATGTTGGAAGGGAGGGGATCATGCTCTGCTTCAGTATGTCACAATACATATTGGCATTTATGGTTCCCTCAATGAACTGTAGCTCCCCAGTGCCTACAGCACTCATGCAGCCCCAGACCATGACACTCCCACCACCATGCTTGACTGTACTCCTCACTTGGTTGCCGCCACACACGCTTGACACCATGTGAGCCAAATAAGTTTATCTTGGTCTCATCAGACCACAGGCATGGTTCCAGTAATCTATGTCCTTAGTCTGGTTGTGTTCAGCAAACTGTTTGCGGGCTTTCTGGTGCATCATCTTTAGAAGAGGCATCCTTCTGGGATGACAGCCATGCAGACCAATTTGATGCAGTGTGCGGCGTATGGTCTGAGCACTGACAGGCAGACCCCCCCCCCCCCCCACCCCTTCACCTCTGCAGCAATGCTGGCAGCACTCATACGTCTATTTCACAAAGACAACCTCTGGATATGACACTGAGCACGTGCACTCAACTTCTTTGGTCGACCATGGCGAGGCCTGTTCTGAGTGGAACCTGTCCTGTTAAATTGCTGTATGGTCTTGGCCACTGTGCTGCAGCTCCGTTTCAGGCTCTTGGTAATCTTCTTATAGTCTGGGCCATCTTTATGTAGAGCAACAATTATTTTTTTTCAGATCCTCAAAGAGTTCTTTGCCATGAGGTGTCATGTTGAACTTCCAGTGACCAGTATGAGAGCGATTAAAACCAAATTTAACAAACCTACTCCCCATTCACACCTGAGACCTTGTAACACAAATGAGTCACATGACACCGGGGAGGGAAAATGGCTATTTGGGCCCAATTTGGACATTTTCACTTAGGAGTGTACTCACTTTTGTTACCAGAGGTTTAGACATTAATAGCTGTGTGTTGAGTTATTTTGAGGGGAAAGCAAATTTACATTGTTATACAAGCTGTACACTCACTACTTTACATTGTAGCAAAGTGTCATTTCTTCAGTGTTATCACATGAAAAGATAGAATAAATTATTTACAAAAATGTGAGGGGTGTACTCACTTCTGGGAGATACTGTATATGCCATGGTTTGTAGACGCTATAACTCTCACACAAAAAAAACAATTAATATACATGTATTGGGATTTTTTTTTAATCAAAGACATGTAGCAGAATACATTTTGGCCTAAATGTATGACTAACTTTAATGGATATTTTGTATAACCAAAAGTGAAAAATAGTTTTGTTTTTCAAAATTTTTGGTCTTTTTTTGTTTATAGTGAAAAAAGTAAAAACTGCAGAGGTTATGAAATACCAAAAGAACGCTGTATTTGTGTGTAAAAAGCCCCCCAAAAACATCAATTTCGTTTGGGTACAGCATTGCACGACCGCACAATTATCAGTTGAAATAGCACAGTGCTGAACAGCAAAAAAAATGGCCTGGTCATGAAGGGGGGTAAATTTTCTGGAGGGCAAGTAGTTAAATAATTGAACATTTTTCAAGAATGGTGATTCCATACTTTTTGCAAGGGGTTGTATCTGGCCTGTGGCGATACAGCAATACCAGCTTGGCAGAGAGTCTGTTTACCTACTTTTTCTAGAGGGGAAATAAAGCTTTGGCTAGAGTTCCTCTTTGCTTGTAATAGACTTGAGTGTTTTTAAAAACAAGTGTGCTTTATAATTGATGTTATCACACCGAAACACTTCAGAGGTTTCTTCTTTGAATCTTTATAAAGACTTCCACTGCCTCCAGTGCTAAGCAGTTTTTTATTTTTAAACTGTATTTAAAGTGATGTGGACTTCAACTTTAATTACTAGTTTGTGCTCAGTGCGGAGGCGAAGTAATTGACCATGCTGTAGACCAGAGCATATGCCAATAGTATTTTCGTAATTACCTTGCTAGGAATAAAAGACAGCAGAGGAGTGCTATAGTCCATTAGTAAGATGTGAAGCTCTCTTTTACATAAAAAACCTTTTTTTTTTTTTTTTTTTTTTTCTTGAGGTCTGGGGCTGTTCACCGTCTGCTACTTAGACTCTTCCGCTGTGTGCAGCCTCAAAGGCTTGAGCTGTATATCAATGCTGTCGTATCCCTCCTGGATATTTAAGGCACAGTTTACTCCGTTAAGGTGACAAGAGGTGATTTGTGAGGGATTTCATTACATTAAATTATTAAAATAAATATTCCAGCCTGCTTTCTTGGTTATAATGGCAAAAGCTGAAAAGGGTAATTTCACTGTGAAATGGCTCTCAGAAGAGATGGTGGAGGGCTTATCAATAAAGGCAAGTAGCTTATGTTTTTGAAAAATGATAGGATGAACCAGAAGGTATGATAACTGAAAAAGGCCAGAGTTTACAATCTATCTTTTCTGTAATGCCTATTAGGGTTTCTTTAACATATCAATATATGGGCCATGGGGAGAGCTTAGAGACCTTGTTATTGTATATAGAATATATGCTTAGTTCTTGCACTCTGCTTAGCCAATCTGTTACTTCTGTTTGGAACGTTAACAAGGTGACCTGTTTGAGTAGATAAAGTGATAGGATTTTCTACACAGTGATAGTTTATTCTTTTCTGTGTAGATCATTTCTGTTTACATGTTTGGCATAATAATCTGCACAGAAAAGTCCTATTAGCCTCTGGTTAGCTTTTCTTTGCTCTGCATGGTATTGTAATCCCAAATGTATATAGGAAAGGCTCCAACGCCCAATCTGTGAAATACAGAAAAATCCTTTAGGTGACTTTAACCACTTCCAGACCGGACACTTTTACCCCCTTCCTGACCAGGGCAATTTTCAGCTTTTAGCGCTATCACACTTTGACAATTGCGCGGTCATGCAACACTGTACCCAAATGAATTTTTTACCATTTTTTTGAGATAGATAAAGCTTTATTTTGGTGGTATTTATTCACCACTGGGATTTGTATTTTTTTTGCTATGTAAATGAAATGTCCAAAAATTTTGAAAAAAAATGTTTTTTTTATAAAATTTTGCAAATAAATAATATTTCATCATAAATCTTAGCCAAAATTTATTCCGTTATCTTTTTAGTAAAAGAAAAAAAAAATCCAAATTAGTTTATAAGCAAAAATTATAATTTTTAAACATTTTTTTTTTTACATTTTTTATTTTATTTTTTGATATTATTATTTTTTATTTTTTTTTTTTTACATACTGTCACTCTAGCAGTACAGTGTCACCATGGTGACACTGTACTACTTGTGGGGGGTGATGAAGATTTTTTTTTTTTTTTTTTACACTGATTGCTTTTACACCCATATAGGATGTAAAAGCAATCATTTCTCTTTCTCTCTGTGTGCATTCTTGCACTCATTGAGAAGTACTGAGTGAGCTGTGATTGGTCACAGCTTGTCACATGGTACAAGGCTTTTGTGAATAGCCTTGTACCATGTGACCTCTGATCATTCACAGATTTCACATGTAGTAAGCAATGATGTCACAAGTGACATCTTGCTTACTACTTTGCATGTGATCACTGATTGGCCAATCAGTGATCACATGATCGGGACCTCGTACAGAGGTCCCGTCCGACGATCGGTGTTTCACTGTGTCCGGAGGACACAGCGGGCACCGGATCGCGGTGCTGCGCGCTCCCAGGGAGCACGCACAAGCAGGGTGCGGGGAGGCCGTTTATAGACGGCCACCCGACCCTGCAGTGCCACCGTCCGGCCGTTTATATACAACGGCCGGACGGGAAGTGATTAAGGACACTTTAATGTTATGACCAAAGTCCCCTTCCAGGTTATTTTTTTCTGTCTGTACAACTGAGGAAATGTACCTTCACTTTCTGTCCCAGAGATGCAACAAGAAGTGGAAGTCTCCCAAAGTTGTGGGAACTCCCCCCCCCCCCCCCCCCCTAGACTGATGTCCCTAGAACAAGTGCCACCTTTCAAAGATTCCTCTCGTCTATTGTTCTTGGGACAACTCTAAAGCTGGATTCTCACTTGAGGATAGCGTTTTTAAGCGTTTTTTTGTCTTGTGATATTTGTTTTTGTGTGCGTTTTTTATATACATCTTTTAACATTTATTTATTATCTTTTTTTTTGTTGTTAGAGTAAGGGGTTAGCATTAAGGTTAGGATAAGGGTTGGGAGTAATATATTATTTATGGTGTCTTTATTATTATTATTAACACCCTAACAAAAAAATAAATAACACCTTAACACTAAATAAATAAATACATTATTATTAGGTTAGGGGTTAATATTTTGTTTTCTTATAATAAATTTTTTTGTTCAGGTTTGGGTGTTTATTATTTATTATCAATATTATTCATAATACATGTATATACACATTATATTGCCAAAAGTATTTGGGGGCGCTTGCCTTTACAAGCACATGAACTTTAATGGCATCCCAGTCTTAGTCCATAGGGTTCAATATTGAGTTGGGCCACCTATAACAGCTTCAACTCTTCTGGGAAGGCTGTCCATAAGGTTTGTCTATGGGAATGTTTGACCATTCTTCCAGAAGCACATTTGTGAGGTCAGGTACTGATATTGGACGAGAAGGCCTGGCTTGCAGTCTTCGCTCTAATTCACCCCAAATATGATCTATCGGGTTGAGGTCAGAACTCGGTGCAGGCCAGTCAAGTTCCTCCACCCCAAACTCCCTCATCCATGTCTTTATGAACCTTGCTTTGTGCATTGGTGTACAGTCATGTTGGAACAGGAAGGGCCATCCCCAAACTGTTCCCACAAAGTTGGGAGCATGAAATGGTCCAAAATGTCTTGGTATGCTGACTCCTTAAGAGTTCCCTTCACTGGAACTAAGGGGCCAAGCCCAACCCCTGAAAAACAACCCCACACTATAATTCCCCCCTCCACCAAACTTTACACTTGGCACAATGCACTCAGGCAAGTACCGTTCTGGCAAATGCTAAACCCTGACACGTCCATCAGATTGCCAGAAAAAGGCGTGATTTGTCACTTCAGAGAACAGGTCTCCACTGCTCTAGAGTCCAATGACAGAGTGCTTTACACTACTGCATCCGACGCCTTGCATTGCACTTGGTGATGTAAGGCTTTGATGCAACTGCTCAGCCATGGAAACCCATTCCATGAAGCTCTCTACACACTGTTGTTGTGCTAATCTGAAGGCTACATGCAGTTTTGGAGGTCTTTAGCTATTGCCTCTGCAGACAGTTGGTGACTTTTGCGCACTGTGTGTTTTAGCATGTGCTTACCCTGCTCTGTCATTTTATGTGGCCTACAATTTGTGGCTGAGTTGCTGTTGTTCCCAGTTGCTTCCACTTTGTTATAATACCACTAACAGTTGGCCGTGGAATATTTAGTAGCAAGGGAATGTCACAGATGGACTTATTGCATAGGTGGCAACCTATCATGGTAGCGCGCTTGAATTCACTGAGCCCATTCTTTCACAATTGTTTTATAGAAGCAGTCTGTATGCTTAAATTCTTGATTTTATACACCTGTGGCCATGGAAGTGATTGGAACACCTGAATCCAATGATTTGGAGAGATGTCCCAATACTTTTGGCAAGTGTGTGTGTGTGTATGTGTGTGTGTGTGTGTGTGTTAGTGGTTAATTATTCCATATTCATTATTTTATTTTGTTTATTATTTTATTATCACGCACTTCTATGCAACTAAAAATGCACATATCTGCCCGATTTGAGTGACAAAAGAAGCCCCAGAACTTGTTTGAGCTTCAGACATTTGGAGTGGAGATGTAAACCATCTCCATTGAGAAGAATTGATTTTTTTTTTTTTCTCCTCAAGCATGTTGGAGCTTCAAGCTACAAATCGCTCAAATGTGAATGAGGCCTAACATTCCCACACTTTCTGTTTTGGTGACCATAGTCACCAGTACAGTGCCAATGGTGAATCTCATCAATGGGGACAGCAATAAAAACTCCTCCCCTACTCAATCCAAATTTTTAAAAGGTTTTGTCTAGAGGTACTGTTTAACATTTTCAATAGTGGAGCAAAAAGTATATATTTGCCTGTACTGCTGTCTGCTTTGCTGAACACTGATTTATTTCAGAGAAATCGTGCACTAAAGTTCCTGCAAAAATTGACACTTCCAGGAGTGTCAATCTCCTGTGTCCTAGGTTGCGATCAGTGGTTCCTCCTATTGACGAGCATGTCGATTATTGTGTTCTATAGTGAGTTAAACCCATGCAGTATATGTTTTGGGGTACTCACCTGCATGCCTGTTACATTAGGATAGGCAGCTGTTTGTGTGGGTTCAACATCCTCATAAATTTGATTGCCTGCAAGCAGCTCCTGATGGGACACAGGAAAAAACTGGACCATTCGCAGTATACAAGCTTCAGCACTTTTGTGAAAAAGGCCTTGCTATGTGCTATGCCGCTTATGAACATGACGATGTACTTTAATATCATTTTTATTTTGCTCTGTTTTTCAGTCAAGGAAGTCACCAAGCAATGCATCGTGTATCCCCAGCACCTGCATTCTAATGTCTTTGATGTCCTGCACGTATACTGGGGTGCAGACTTTGGGAAAAGAGCTGTTCATGTATTTTGAGGCAAAAGCATTAAGGTAATGCTAAGTAAAATATAATATAAGAAAATTGTTATGATCTACAGTATCTTTCAAATGCATAATATAAATATATATGTCTATATATACATACACAAATTGAATTGACCACTGTCTAATTAAAATCCCAGTAAAACCCAACTAGGTTTTATTTATTGATCTTGTACAGAAGTTGTAACCTCCATCAGGTTTTGATTGCTGTGTGCTTGTTAGGTAGATTACTTCCTTTCTTCCTGTTTTGTTGACATTCTGGGTGATAAAGAGGTTATCAGTCCAAGGAAGTCAGGATAATCTTCCCCGTTAGGGCATGGATATTATGATCAGGATTGAAAATGTTTTTTCCCTGTAAATACACATTACTGCTATGCTATATTTTATATCTCAAGCTGAAAATTAATTGCAGAACTGCAGAGATGTTACTTACCTCTCATCTGTCATCTCAGTCCAATGTTTCAGGTTGGAATGGGCAAGCTGGAAAGGGAAGATGCCTTAGCATAGTGTTTTTTTTTTTTTTTTTTTTTTTTTTTCTCTGGCATGTGTTAAACATATTTGTAAGAGGAGAGAGTTATTTCACATCAAGTGACAAAGAGATGGGAGAGCAGGAAATAGAAAAGTGCAAACCAGGCTAGAGATTCTAACCTTTCCTAGTGTACACCATAAAGTGGCAAGAAAAAATATGTGAATCCATTGGAATTAACTGGTTTTCTGCAGTAATTTTCCATAAATGTGATCTGTGATCTGATTTTCCTTAAGTTACAGCAATAGAAATCACAATGTGCTTAATATGATAACACAAAAAACAGTTCTAATTTTCTCATGTACAAAGTGTGGAGAAATTATTTACAACTAAATACCAAAATGAATGCAGGTAACTACCAAGAAACACTTTTTTTTTTTCTAAATTTGTACTGAGAAGGGCTAAATTACACTTTTTGAATTGAGGGCAGTAAAAACAGATGCAAAGGCAGCTGGACAGGGGTGTATACATGTTGTGGCAAAAAATTATACCTCTGATGCATTTCGCGCTGCACCACTGCTGAACACAACCTATTCGATTGAATGGGTCTGTGCCACAACCACATGCAGTGTATGCAGCTGCTGCATGATAGTGTGGAATTTTCAGGGTTAAAACAGGGGTGAAGAGATGACATATCATCTTTTCACCGCCTGTCAAATGCCTCTGAAAAGTGATTGGATGCTAAGGGCTGGTGCACGTCTACCCATGGCCTAACAAACATTTTCAACCATGGGTATCTGCTATGCACAGAAGTACTGTACTGTAGGATATGTGGTGTTCTGGGAGGGGGAAGTGTTTTCTGGGCTGAGAAAACCAACTTGAATGGTTTCAGTACTCCTGCTTAGAACTTTGAGGATGAGTTGCTTCACTCTGCTTAAAGTTACAGAGGTTAGTGAGTGCTCATTTTAAAGTTTAAAATCTCTTCTTGGACAAGTCCAGTTCTTGGTGCTGAGCCAGCAGGGGACAGATGTTGCATCAGATCCATGCTGAATCCACCTAGGTGAGTATAGATGCTGTTGTGTTTTTTTTTTTTTCCCAAACCCCATACTTCTCCACTGACTGTACTCATCTGCTCTACTGTATCATACTGACTAAAGGATAGCATATGCAGAAAAAGAGTAACTATTCCATCAAAGAACTTGAATCCTGCAACTGTACTGCTCACATAATGTCGTATTTAGTGGTTTTACTCCACATTTGTATCTGCATATCACATACACATGCATGCTGCCTATATAATTCAGGTATGTAGTCCTAAGGGAAGCCACTGCACTTTGTGTAAGGTAAAATGCCCAGGTGCTCACCCACAAAGAAATCTATACAAATCTAAACCGGTATAGAGGCACTCGCACGTCTTGCAACAGAGATAAATCAAAACTGTGTTTTATTGTTAACGTTTGATGGAGCTCACTCCATCTTTCTCAATGTTTCAGGTATGTACAGTATATATATATATGTATATATGTCTTTTTGGCTTGGATATAGAACTTTCGGTAGTTTTAATAAATCCCAACCCTCCTATGATGTTCTTGCTCATCTTGACATCCAGATATGTATTATTTTCAGCCATGGATGAACTGAGGAGGGAAGAGGTTTTTTTAGATAGTTTTAAATCGGATCAGGTTTTCACGTGCTTTACCCTTGCATATTGTTTAGATCAAATATGACCCATTTCCCAAGTAGTCTTCCAGGACAGCACACGAGACGTAGAGCTTCTCTCACAGGACAGGAAACATGTTACCTAACATAGAATAAAAGGCGGTCCTCCAAGCTACTTCTGTTTCTTCTGGATGCCATGTGGAAAAGGTTCTCTCTCCAGGGCTGGCTGGAAGCTCGGTTGGGGGGGGTTCACTTAGGATTCCCTGTCTTCTAACCCTGCAGCACTCTCCTCTAGGGGTGTTTGGAGATTAGGGTGCAACAGTCTGAGCCTTTCCAGGGTACAGGGAAGGCCGGGACAGTGGTGGCATTCCATTTGGGCAGTATGTCCCCCTGCCTGTGGAGGAAAGCAGGGTGCTCTCTGCAGCCTTACCTTTGTTTGGAGGCCACATTCTGGGAGTTCTGCTGCCTGGCTTTCTTCCTTGTGCGGTGGGGGGTGGGGCTTCTGTATTCCAAGCTGGCTCCGGAAGTTGTAGTGACATCATTTCCAGGAGGTGGGTGACGTCATCACCAGGCGCCGGGGATGCTGGTTCCAATCCCCATTTGAAAAAGGGCACCGGACTGACGGTTCGGGCGGCGGTCTTCGCTACAGCAAAGGCTGGAATGGAGAGACTGGTGGCTATGTATCCTCCCATGGCTGTTGCTCTGGCAGTTGATTCTGGGCAAGCAAGCACCAGCTCATCACAGGTAAAAACGGGGAGGGCTCCCAGATGTATGCCTGTGTTGGTTTTTTCCTATAACATACAGCTCCTTGGGTGATAGACTGTTTCTGACAAGAAATAAATGTGGATATCCTCCTGCGCTTAATATGGATGACGCAAATCTAATTATAGCTGCTGCCACTCAACTTAAACCAATAAGTGTAAACACAAAATATAAATATATAGTAAAGCGCTATAAATCAAATCTAACGCATGTGCAATACTCTCGTGCTGTGTAATGCTAGCCGTGCCAACGCAATAGTGCTCAGTGGGAAAAATGCAGAAATACAATTATAAATATTCAACAATATAAAGTGAGAAAACCATAAAAAATGTGTAAAAATCCAATGAAAAATGTGATAGTGGTTCTTAAAAAACAAAACAAAAAAGGTGGATAGCATCCCGTGCTGGTTTACCAATATCTGGTATAAACACACTGTATATGAATAAACATCTATAGCAAAAAACATCTGTGTAATTTAAAGCATAAAGTCCATGCAAGTAATACTGTGCCAACGTGATCTTCACTCTGGTGAAAAAAGGGGATCCTCAAATGGCAGCAGTGCCTGCTCACCTCCACACACTGACCCGCACAGGGCCAAAAGGCTATGATTAACAATACAGATCCTCTCAATTCCGCTCCTCATCCCAGGGACCATGGGATTGAATATAGACTTCTCCCCAGCGCACCTTATCCACTCCACCTCCACTCAAGGCCATATAAATGAGATACAAAGCAAAGATCCTTCCATAGTGCAGTAATGTTGTTTATTGGAAAGTGAATAAAATTGATATTGCACTCACATGTAATCCCAGTAAAAAAATGCCTGTCACCACATCCTATGGGTGTACTGCAGCCCTTCCACAGCCAAGACCCGTACATCTCTTGAGCTCAGGTGGGAGATCCTAGATAGGGCTTCGGGGTTGAGGAAAAGCGAAGATAAGGGGAGTTCTTAAGAGGAGAGAGAGGGCTCTTGTTCTAGGTCATCTAGTTTCAAAAAAATAGGTTGCTCTAAAATACATGCAAAAGTATAACAAGAAAATAAATAAAACAATAAAAAACAATATTAGAAATCAAAATAAAATCCAGCAAAAACGAAAAAGTTCAAATAATCAATAATGTCCAAAATAATTCATCACCAAGTAAATCCACCACCAAAAATGGTTAAATAGAACTCACCAGAGTAATATGCTGATTGTTGAAAAACCAGCATATAGTACTTGTTATTCTGGGAGAAATGAATAATATGGTGACAACAACACTGAAGAAATGAGGGATAAACTCCAACAGATGATGTGCTGCAAAGTGGATTTTATTTTGATTTATAATATTGTTTTTTTTTATTGTTTTGTTATTTATTTTCTTGTTTATACTTTTGCATGTATTTTAGCGCAACCTATTTTTTTTAAGTTTTGTATATCCTATAATTTTTATAGGCTAGGTTTTGCAGCTTACTGTGTTATATAATAATTTCTGTGGCGCTGGTTCTTTATTTATATATATCTAGGTCATCTAGATCTTATCAGATTGTAAAAGGGCTCATGTTGATGCCATTCAAAAAATGAAATAATCTGCTCCATTCCCAGAAAACAAAAGATATAAGGGAGGGTCTTATCACTATAAAAAATGTGATCTCAAGCTTTATTCCTATTCATTACTAAATTTGATTGACAAACTGTCTAGTGTAAATTTTCAATTGAATAATGTATACCAGCTGTATGGTTCGCACTGATGATCTGTTTAACGGGTGTGGAAATTTTTGAAAAAACTACTTGTCCAGGGACTAAATCGGTGTCCCAATCTACTTGTCCCTCATAAAAATCTACTTGTCTTAACTATTGCCACATTTTATGTTACAGCCTTATTACAAAATGGATTACATTCATTTTTTTCCTCAACATTCTACAAACAATACGCCATAATGAGAACATGAAATCTTTGCAATTTATTCAAAATAAAAAACGAAAAAAACCCACATTATGTACATAAGTATTCACAGCCTTTGCTCAATACTTTGATGAAGCACCTTTAGCACCAATTACAGCCTCAAGTTGTTTTGAGTATGAAACTACAAGCTTGGCACACCTATTTTTGGGCAATTTCTCCCATTCTTCTTAGCAGTACCTCTCAAGCTCCATCAGGTTGGATGGGGGTGCGTCGTGCACAGCCCTTTTCAGATCTCTCCAGAGATGTTCATTCGGGTTCAAGTCTGGGCTACTCCAGGACATTCACAGAGTTGGCCCATAGCCACTCCTTTGTTATATGGGTTGTGTTCTTAGGGCCGTTGTCCTGTTGAAAGATGAACCGTCACCCCAGTCTAAGGTCCAGAGGGTTAACAGGTACTCTTCAAGGATGTCTCTATACATTGCTGCATTCATCTTTCCTTTGATCCTGACTAGTCTCCCAGTTTCCTGCCACTGAAAAACATCCCCACATGCCACTGCCATGCTTCACTGTAGAGACGGTATTGGCCACGTGGTGAGTGGTGCCTGGTTTCCTCCAGACATGACGCTTGGCATTCAAAGAGTTCAATCTTTGTTTCATCAGACCAGAAAGTTTTGTTTCTCATGGTCTGAGAGTCCCTCAGGTGCCTTTTGGCAAACTCCAGGTGGGCTGCCATTTTGCCTTTTACTGAGGAGTGGCTTCTTTGTAGCCACTCTACCATACAGGCCTGATTGGTGGAGTGCTGCAGAGATGGTTGCT